TATAACCGACCTCAATACGGCATACTATATACTGGAGGTTTTCTACAACACCTCCTAAAGTAGTTTCTACTCTTTTTTATCTCCTGATCTTTCATATGGCCTCTATGTTTAAGAGGCCTTCCTCTTATTCTCTTATTGTATAAAATGACTTAAGAGAGACCTTCTCTAAATTTTCCGACCAATTGTGTATTTTTTTTTCGATATGAAAAGAACACCTTTTTAAAATCCGACCAAATTCATTTTTGGTGGCAAACAAAAAAGAAAACACAAAGCTTTTTTTCCCTGCTGCTAACAAGTGTTCGTTCTGACATTGGATTCCTGATTTTTTGCTTTCAATGAGATGTAGAGCTTTTTTTACTCCAGTGCTTTTTTGATATCATAAATTCACACACACACACATAGATAGATAGACACGTGTATGTGAGCCCCAAAAAGCTATGTAGTTTTCCTGTACACTTTTTTTCCGACGTGTTCATTTTCATAATTGTGCGTTTCTGTCTATCTATCCTCCGTTTGTTTGGTGTTGTGCTTCGTCGTTCGTTCTCTTCCCTAGAGTAAAGAATACAATTTTTCCATGATAAAATACAATTTTTCGTGTGTGTGTACACCCCAACACCCCAAACGGTCGTGGTGAATAAACGAACGAAATGTTTACGGTAAAATGTGTGTGCGAGTGAGTGTGTGATTGTGTGTGTTTGTAGAGTGTTCGTTAAACAATTTTCCTCCTTGCTGCTGCTGCCAGAGTGGTGGACTCTGACTGGCTGGTTGGTTGGCTGCTTGTTGGGCCATCGTTTGGATGATAGTCGTCGTCGACATCGTGTCGTTGCCGTTGTTCTGTTCAGTTCAGTAATGCGTTTTTCCAAAAGAGCAAAGATTCCATACGCACCGTTTTAACAAAAAAAAAAATTGTATTAATTATAAAAAATTCGTATTGAAAAGTTTGCATAGGGTGCGGTACCTATTTGGAAAAAATTAATAACAAATAATTAATAAAATAAAAAATTGTGGTATTTTCATTAAATGAAAATTTCATTAGTAAAAAAGAAAAATTGTGAAAAAAAATAATTCGAAAATTGTGTGAAAAAATTCCCCGCCCTGCCGTAAAAAAATGTGTAATAAAATAATTTTTGTGTACACATCCATTGAGCGCAGAGTACGTCGGAAACAGAAAAAAAATTGTTAACCCAATAAAAAAATTACCCGAACGCCAGCAAGCAAAGCAGTGCATGATTCATGTTATAGTCTTTTTTGGAATTTTCTTCTCTATGTTCTGGATGTTGTTGGTGTTGTGTTTTCATGTGTGAATACAATTACCGTGTAGTTGTGCTGAATACTCTTGTGCTGTATCTCCTTTTGGCCTGGTGTTTAATAACTAGACGGGAAAAAACAACAACACATCGTCATTATTATCATCTTCACCACGCATATACCTCAACCTCTCCCCCTGCATACCCCATCACCAAAAGTGCCCCCTTCTCCAAAACAAAAAAGAAACGCACAAAAAAAATATTGAATAGAAAATTCCCCCAAAACAAATGTGAAGCGAAAAAAAATAAATCCAGCATCTTAAATGAAAAACAAAAAAACAACAACAGCAATAGCAATAGCACACAAAATCAACAACATTGTTGAAACAAAAGAATATTGAAAAATAACAACAACAAATATACAAAACAACAACAAAAATCCAAAAAATAAATACACTTTCAATGAAATAAACAAATTAATAACGAAACGAAAAAAAACAATATTTTCTGTGAAAAAAAAAAACAAAATAAAATTCTCTTCTCATTTATTTTAATATAAACACCTTTTGCTTTATTAGAAAGAGAAAGAGAGTGTCGTTGGGGTTGCTCAACTCATCATCATTAACTTCTCCTAACTGACATTTATGTGGCAAAATATGTGGTTATAATTTTTTTCTGTTACTCTTTGAAAGCTTATCTCTCCGCTATTCTCTTCACATACAAATTCTCCCTGGATAAAATTAATTATCTCACTTCTCATTTGTTTTTTCCGTAATATGGAATGGCCTTCATCAGTTAAGGACTTTTCTGTTCTCTTTTTTGATGATTGAAAAGCGATTGTTGTGACACCTTGTGTGTGATAGACGTAAACAAGAACAACAACAACAACAACGAGATAAAAAAAAAAAACAAATCTAAAACTATGTTAAACAAATAATTTTGTAGTTTTATAACAAAATAACAATTACAGAAACATATTTGTGATAAATAATTTATATCTGATTGGGTTCATTTAAATAGAGAGAATAATTACAATAGTTAAGGGGAATGTTAGGACGAAATTCGTCATTTTTAATCAGAACTTAACTGGACTTATCATTTGTTGATATCAGAGTCATTATGGTAATGTTTTTAATATTTTGTATTTGTGGACTATAAAAAAATCAGACACAGAAAAACATAATTGACATTTTTGTCTTAAGGGGGAATAATAGAAGATGATATACTATATTGGAACATATATTTCCAAACTTTGTTTATATAAAACTATTTGTCATTTTTATTTTAATATTTTTCTTTATAATTTATGATATAAAAAAAACTCCAGAAAGTCTTTTAAATATAATATACAATTTTTTGGTAGGAAAATATTCTCCACAGTGAAATTGATTGATTTTTAATGCACCAAATCGTACCGTCAGAGGACCGCACAATGGTCCAAGCATAGAAATATGAAGTTGTTGGTAACAGTTGAGCCCAAATAATTATTTTAGTTGAGATAGTACATATCTTTTTCTCAATATATAAAAATAAAATAATAAAAAATTGAATAAATAAAATAGAAACAAAAAATAAAATCAAAAATATGTGGGCTACCAGTAAACGTAAACCTACATACATAAATTTTTGCATGGAGATTTGGTACCCAAAGAGAACACTCTGTGCCCAATTACAGCCAATTTGGTGTAAAATGTGTCTAATAGACAAAAAATACCTTAAATCGGGAAATACGGTTATATGGGGGCTGGATATAGATTTCTATATTTGATTTAACATTAAAAACATGTAAGGGAAATTTTGGCCACCTATCAAATGGTTCGGCAGTTAATGAGTTTATACCCAATTTTTGGGTAAATACTCGGGTGTTTACCCGCGTCTTTCAAGTATCGTAAAGCTATCCATTCTAAATCGATTTGATAACAGAAACACGGAAATAGGGTGTAAGATGTTGGATTACCGATTCAATATAGTAAATACCCAAATAAATAAATACAAACAAATGGGTAATTACCCAATTTACGAGTATTTACCCTTTGGGTATTTACCCACTGCCCATCTCTACTCATTCTGGTATCTCACTCACAAAGGGTCAATTTTCCCAAATTATACATTGCACAACCTATTGTCTTAACCAACCCCGACCCTATCCTTCTGGTACCTCCCCCACGAATGATCAACATTTTCAATACTTATAAATCCTAGATGAATTCTAAAGGTGGGACCCGCCGGACCTCTCCTTCTGGTACTATGAATATTTTATAATCTCGTAAATTCGATATGTGGCGAATGAAATAACTGATTTGATCAAAATCGCCGAAATCTCTTTGATAAAAACATATACCTTATATAAAGTGAATAATTAAACCTGTGTGTAGTTCCGAAGACCTTCGAAATTCATTTTTATTTTAAATATAATTCTCACTGAATTATATTTTCCCAGATATTTCTCATGTTAATGAAATGGTTCATACTTACCCAAATATTTGCGGTGCTCCCATACAAAAATATAACTCGATCATCCATTTGTCCCATTTGATTTTAGGTATTTCGAGGTTTTACAAGGACCCTGCGTATATTACCAAATTCCATTTTTGTCCAATCGCCTAACGAGTTCACCATAAATCGACAGTCTATGATATATATATTCCCTGGAACTTTTAAAGGGACATATTTGAATTGAATGCAAGAAGTATTAAAAATCTATTTCCTGATCTTAGACAGTATTAATTGACTCAAAGATAAAGCTATTGAAATTTATCATTATGGGTTCAGAATATACATAGCTCTCATATATAATTTCTGATTTAATGTAAATGGTCATCAAATGCAAAATGATTCACCGATTGATAAGAATTTCTGATTCTAATTTAGATTTACATATAGCTCCATATATAACTTCGTCCGAACATTTATGTGTGTTACCGACTTGTAGAAATGTATTAAACCCGGACAAGATTTTAATATAGGACCCATACATATTATCGTTCGAATTTATGTACCTTAATGGTGTTAAACATTTAATAGTTATCATAAGTCGTGTGAAAATTAGAGACCACTATGCCACATACTTGTCCAGTTTCAAGGAGACACCAAGACGTTGAACACTATTTTTTCCTATTATACATTTAGATCTAAAGTGATTTATCTTGAAAAAACATGGATTAACAAATAATAAAACACCACAACAAATAATTGTAAAATATTAAAAAATATACCGAAAGTATTAACAAAGAAAAGAGCACTCAAATAATATATGCTCCTTCTGGTTAATAAACACCAAATTCCATAACAAAGTCAAAACAAAAAAGTCATCAAATAATAATTGTGAAAAAACATATTTAAACAAGTTTCCAAAAAATTAAGAAGCCATTAAAAGAAAAGCAATTTCCCAACTCTAACTCGACGTTGAAATTTAAATGTAATGTGAATGATTTTTTGATTGCGCCTTTAACAAAACGAAATTCTAACTGAGAAAGAACACCACCACCACCCCCTCAACCCTTACAACCACCAAACGCCGTCCACAATTCCAACTTGGCCTAATCATCACTTTTGTTGATAACAAGCCATTGCCAACGTTGTGCGTGTGTCGTTACTTCATTCCCAACCAAAAAAACGAAAAGAAAAACAAAAATCGAACGTTGGAATCCTTTTCATCGTCAGTTTTGTTGTCGTTGTCGCCGCCGTTGTCGTTGCAGTAGTAGTTGTTGTTGTTCTTTACTTCAACTCAATTGTTTTCTTTTGCCTGCTACAGTATTCGGCCCATTTGTGGCCGATATTAAACGACCTTCAAAACGTTTTGTGTCGAAGCAATCCGCACCATGGGCTGCGCACAGAGTGCTGAGGAAAGGGCTGCAGCCGCCAGAAGTCGTTTGATTGAACGCAATCTGAAAGAGGATGGGATACAGGCAGCAAAGGATATTAAACTTTTGTTATTGGGTGAGTAAGTTATTAATGTGAAGACTCGAGGAGATAGAGAGAGCGAGAGAGGCAAGAGAGAACACATTCAATGGAATACACATAAAAACAAAAAAAGCAAACTCTTCTTAAACAGTATTTTGGAGAGTTGGGAGGGAAACTGAATTCCCTCTCTCCCACTCTCCGTTTTTTGTTCTCTCTTTTATGTTGTGCAAACTTCTCTTTATGTTAACTTAAATTATTTTCTAGTTTATTAAAGAGTAAATAAATGGGTCCATGATTGTGGAAATCTGGTGATGCTTATTTTTCGAAGAAACAAGTGATTTTTGTTGTCTACCCCCTCTCCTCCCATTTTTTCAATAAAAGTCTAAGACATTGATAATGACTTTGTTGTTGTTGCTGTGTTTTACTTTTTTCCTTTCTTTCTTCTCTGCTTGGTATTCAAAGAATTATCCTTTGGTTTCTTACAGTCTGCCTGTTTTTGATGTCAAGTGAAATTAGAAGTAGTTCCATTTTTTTCATTTCTTCCACTTGGTTCGACTTGTGGTTGATGATGGCTGGGAATTTTATTTTTCTTTGTCTTCTTCTTTCTTATTTGTTTTGAAAACATTGATGAGGAGGGGGAGAGGGAAACCACCAACAGTGTCAACATTTCAATTGCAACAGGAAAAAAATTGCTACATTGTTTTTTCTCTCTTTGTAATCATTGAAGATTATTTTTTTTTTTGTTTTAAACCATGAATGGTTTTGACATTTTAAAGATGAGAATTTAATATTTTCTTAGTAATACATTTTGAAATAATATTGAACTAGTCAATATTTTACAGACCTGGGAATGTTTAGAAGATATTATTTGTAAAGAATATTTTTTCAAGGCGTAGATTTTTTAAAGAATATTTTTTCAAGGCGTAGATTTTTTAAAGAATATTTTTTCAAGGCGTAGATTTTTTAAAGAATATTTTTTCAAGGCGTAGATTTTTTAAAGAATATTTTTTCAAGGCGTAGATTTTTTAAAGAATATTTTTTCAAGGCGTAGATTTTTTAAAGAATATTTTTTCAAGGCGTAGATTTCTTAAAGAATATTTTTTCAAGGCGTAGATTTTTTAAAGAATATTTTTTCAAGGCGTAGATTTTTTAAAGAATATTTTTTCAAGGCGTAGATTTTTTAAAGAATATTTTTTCAAGGCGTAGATTTTTTAAAGAATATTTTTTCAAGGCGTAGATTTTTTAAAGAATATTTTTTCAAGGCGTAGATTTTTTAAAGATTAATTTTTTAGGCCTATTCAAGGCGTCGATTTTTTAAAGAATATTTTTTTTAAGGCGTAGATTTTTTAAAGATTAATTTTTTCAAGGGTCTATTCAAGGCGTCGATTTTTTAAAGAATATTTTTTTAAGGCGTAGATTTTTTAAAGATTAATTTTTTAGGCCTATTCAAGGCGTCGATTTTTTAAAGAATATTTTTTTAAGGCGTAGATTTTTTAAAGATTAATTTTTTAGGCCTATTCAAGGCGTCGATTTTTTAAAGAATATTTTTTTAAGGCGTAGATTTTTTAAAGATTAATTGTTTAGGCCTATTCAAGGCGTAGATTTTTTGAAAGATTCCTTTTTAGGCCTATCCCAGGCGTAGATTTTTTAACAAATATTTGTCAAATCGTAGATTTTTTAAAGATTAAGTTTTTAGGCCTATTCAAGGCGTAGATTTCTTGAAAGATTCCTTTTTAGGCCTATCCCAGGCGTAAATTTTTTAACTAATATTTGTCAAGGCGTAGATTTTTTAAAGATTAATTTTTTAGGCCTATCCAAGGCACCGATGGTTTAAAGCTTCATTTTTCAAGCCTGTTCAAGACATAGATTTTCTAAAGATTATTTTCTTAAGGCCCATGGAAGGCGTAGATTAAAAAAAAATATTTGTTCAATGCTCATGGAAGGATTTTTAAAGAATATTTTCCGAGGCCTATCCAAGGCGATGAATTCTTACCATTAATAAATATTTATTTTTTTCAAGGCTTACACCTCGTAGATTTTTGCCAAGGCCTATCCATTGTTAATTTTTTTTAAGATATATTTCAAGCGTATAACTTGCCATGGCAGCGTATACGTGTTATTAATATTACACGTTGCATTCTACCTTTACAATCCATTAATATTATATTTTCCTTCGGATCGAAAGTATTACAACTCGTCTTTCATGTGGAAAATAATTTTCAAAATAATATTTTCCATCAAAAATCAGCCATTCCTCTTCTTTTTTCCCCTGTTTTCAATAACATTTCCCCATTTGGCGTATAATTTATATTAATTCAATCACCAGGTGGCGTATAAGTTCTTCAAAGCACGACATAGATAATACGCCACCTAGAAAATCAAAAATTTAATGTTGTATTATTTTAACATCAGTTTTAAATAAAATTAAATATTTTCGTTCTGGTTGTTGTTTTAAGATCCTTGCCTGTTATTATCCATCACTGATGTATTCACGTAGAATAACAGTAAATAAATAATTTCCACACATCATCCCACTCTCGTGTAATCATTTTAATGGCATCTGCATCAACAAATTCAATCATATGGAGATGATGATGATTATCGTCGTCATAATGATGGCGATAAGTGGAATGATGAGAAGAGCCGAACAAGTGGATGGTTAGACACAGACCGTCACACTCACAACAATGTATTTACAGCAAACATTCCACCCAAATCATCAGCATCATTTTCCTCACCAACGACGACCGACCTACTTATAAATAATTGACTAAGAACAATAAAAGCGATTTCTTCCACCCACCTCCTCACTCCTGCTTTATTATCCTACCAAAGCACTTCAAAATCTTATGATATGGCCTAAAGGAGCTTCTCATGCTCGTCGTGTTTATGAAAACAACAAGAAAACAAAAACAACTACAAAATAAATTAAATATTTTCTTTTATTTTTTTTCGGCCGGAATTGAGTGACGTTGTCTTATAGTATGTCCGTCCAAAGCAGACAAGTCAGTCTGTGCGGCCGACCAACTGAACGTCACTCTGCCCAAGTTAAAGATGAGTGGGTGTATTGGAAAAATTACATTTTGGCTGTTGTTTGCTTGCCAGTGATTCAGCAGAGAGTGGAAAAGGATAGTGGCAAGACACCCTGCGGCCATTCAAACAATGGGATGAAAAGAAACAAAAAAGAAACTACTACGACGTAGTAAGAATCTCATTAAATTTAGGCTCTATTGCCTTGCTGACAATGAAATACAGCAAAGCAGTATTATTGATGAAAACCATTGCCATTTTTACAATATGATTGTATTTTTCCTTTCTTCTTATTCTTTCTTGAGTATGGAATTATTATAAACAAATTATCCCTAACACGTTTTACAAAGAAATTAAAATACAATACAATTGTATTTCACGGATTATTTGTATAACAAAGAAAAATTCTTGTAAATTTTATTCGAAAATGCAAATGAGTTGTAGGTAATAAACAATTGTAATAGCAGAATGTGTTAAGTTACATGAATCATAAGTCCGTTTGGAATGATTTAATTTCTTTAAGTAATGGAAAATTCAGTGAAAAATGTAATGTGTTCAGAGTGGCGTATAAGTGTTATTAATAGAAAGTGTGTGCGGTGGCGTATGAATGTTGTGAATTGAGAAAAATAATTTATACGTTTGGTATTTCGTTGATTTTCATTTTAACATTTTTTTAAATGTTCATAATGAATTTATTAACTCTTCAAAATATTGATAATTTAAAGAAATTACAAATATCAAATAGTTAGATTTTTGAAAATAATATTTTTCAAAGCCTATCCCAGGTGTAGATGTTTTAATGAATAATTTCTGAGAGTGGATTTTTTAAATGACTATCGTGGATTTTCCATAAGATTCTCAAATGTATTTTTTTTAAATAATATTTTTTTTCTAGGCGTAGTTTTTCTTAGGAATATTTTTTGAAGGCTTGGATTTTCTTAATAATATTTTTTTAAGAGATTTTAGATTAGATTTTAGATTTTATATGCTACCAAGTTATAAATCTATTTTAAGTGCTACCAATTAAATCATACATTTTTTAAAGAATAATTTTCAAGGTCTGCCCATAGTTTTTAAAATTGAATTATTCCGATTTCAAATATAATAAAAGCATTATAATAAAAAAACATAGCGTATAATGTATATCGTACTTTAAATAACTTATACGACCCCAGGGAATTTTAATTTATATTAATTATAATCCCACAGTGGTCCACTAATTGAGATGTTTTATTGATAGCTAAGTTCTAATTTCTCTTTGAAAAACAACTCTAAAACTACTTTAGAAGTTCCAATATCAGATATTAGACATAAATTGAGCCTTCCCCAATGTTTATATAAATTATATTGGGGCGTATGATTGTTAAATACCAAAAATTAAGTATACGTTACTTTTATGTCTCCCTTTTCTATAAAAAAAAATATATTTTTAAGATTTGTTAAAAAAATATTTTAAAAAATTCAATAAAATATAAACCAGTGAGCGGAGCAGTATAGTCGGACTGGGCCGATCATATGATACCCTACACAACTACCACGAAAATCAAACTTTCTGCGGTTCTATTTTCTGAGCCTGGGCAATATTTCAAGATATTTGCAACCTTTTTACCGATTATAGATCAACAACTTCACTTTCTAACCCTGGCATATTTTCCAATTTTTTATCTTGATGTGAATTTTTACGCCGTAAAATAAAAAAGAATGTCACTTTAGGTTTTGGTTGGTTTGACCCTCGGAATATTAACCGATCATCATCTAAACAGCCGCTCTAAGTATTTGGCCAGATCCCCTTCACATTGTAAAATATGTGATGTTCTGCATATAATAATTGCCTCTAAAACGACCAGAAAATCTGACAAAATTAAAGTTTTCGGTTCATTGCACTCCCTAAATGAAATCTCAACTTCACCGAAAACTTGATCATAATCGGAAGTTCATGTACAATTTCAAAGCTATCAGCGCGACATTTCCGTCCTCTAATGGAGTAATAGTAATACTATGCACAT